ATATATATATATATATACACGCGCACGCACGCACGCACGCACGCACACAATCTAATTTTTATAAAAATATATGTATATCTTAAATAAAGTGATATTTAGACAGAATCGAAGTGAAACAATGTTCATGTGTGTTTGTTTTTATTTTATTAATACTATAAAACGTGGATTTAAGGTCAGATTGCAATGTCACTTTGACTTTAAGCAGGGCTTGAAACTTTCTTTCGATTTTAAAGAGAGAAAGTGAGAGCTTTAAGTCTCAAAGTAACGTTGGTGCCTAAGACACATAAATACATACCTTGAAATGACTTTGCTTTTCCACGTCTACTGTTACGTGTAGCTGTCCTGTGAAATAACTCTGTCCCAATCTCCATAGATCTGGCAACTGTTCGACTACAATGTCGCAAATTGCTTCGACGCATAAGATTTGTGGTGGAGAGCTACCTCCGTTCTTTTGCGAACGTAAATGCTTAATATTTATCGGTATGAATTTTGATATTTTGTTTGCATCTTCACAATTAATTTTAACTCTATCCGAATGCTCGTATATAGCATTGGCAACGCTTTTCTCCAAATAATTTGCATGTGAAACTAGAAGATAAAATTGAAATTATCTTCTTTAATTAAATATAATCGTAATAAATGTAAATAAAAGTGGTTCGTACGAACTTGCTCCATTTTGAACATGAAAGTGACAATAAATGAACACACCTATCGCGTCCCATGCCGGATCACCTTCGGCATCAAGGTTGACGAGGTTTCTAATAATCTTCTTACGTTCCTCTAAACTGAACGGCATCTCTTGTAATTTTTTTCGTAATAATACTTTAAAATGATTGATTCTATTGTCAATTTCCTCCAATACCTTTTTAAACACGTCTACCTCTGTATTTTTAAATAAATTCTTCACTCTAGCGTAATCGTTAATTACAAGATCATAGTTGCCACGCTTGATGTTCCTCTCAATGTTTATTGGCATACAAAAGAGAAATTTGTAACGTTGCATAACGGCCAATGCGTTACGAGTGGCATCGGCTCTGTCCCTCCTCGCTAATACATCATCGAACAATTTATTAGCCTCTGACATAGACTGTCTGATGGCAGTTTCCAATTTCTCTGTAGGATCACTACCATAATTCTTCATGTCTGCTTCAAATTGATCCTTTAACGACATTATTGTGTCAAGCTGTTCCATTACTGCTCCTACATTGGCCTGTTTTATAATTGATGAGAATGAATTTTAATTTTAATAGAATAATATGATTCTATATATCAGAAATATTCTTAAATCACAACTAATGTTGTATTTATCCTCTTATACCTTTAAAAATGATAATTGTCCTTCTTTTTGGGAATTGACTTTTCTTCGAAGATAAGCTAAACCAGCCTTTAAATCTTCCAAAGTCGTAGCATGATGATGTTGTAGTAAAAACCATCCAGGATGAAATTTCTCGCTTGTGAGATCTCCACTTCCATCTCCAAAAAGTTCAATTAGCTCATCCTCAGGAAACTTTTTGCTTCAAAACGAGATATAATTAATTATTTAATGTGTAAAATATTATACATTATTGACAGTTTATCACAGTCGAAATTTAAAGATTTACTCGTTGCCTTCTACACTAAGTCCCAAAGGATCTTCCTGTTGATAGTTTGTAGGCGACAAAGCTCTTCTACCCCAGCCTAAATTCTGCATAGGTGCTTCCTCCACCCATACTGCTGATTCTTTCATTGGACCTATAGTCTCGTGGTAACCACGAAACTGTACCGTTGAAGTCCCTTGTCCTCCACTTTGTGTTGTCACTATTATATCTCCACGGCCTTTGCAAGGACCTGATCTTGCTATAATTTTGTTGGATGACTTCCATTCGGCCGAAAGCAGACAGTTGCATCCGCATATTGTTAATCCTGTGAAGCAATAGTAAAAAATTGATGAAACATCGATTGGTATAATTGTAATACATAAAATTCGCGGATTTCCTCCATGTCTAGATCCATTCTTGGAATGCCAACGTTTCGTGAACCTTGGAGGAAATCCGCGAAACGCATAATTTTTATATAGAAAGAATCTGTGAATGCCTCAAGAATAATACATAAAATTATTTTGCGCGTATACATATATTCTATTATAATATTCTATACGTAAATAATTCTTTTCTATGTGATTATTTTAGAAAAATATCTCAACGAGTGACACTAACCTATAAGATCCTGAGCTTTATTTCCCAAAAATTCACCACGCATAGTCACCCGAGTACCAGGTGGGCCTTCCTTAGGCGATATTCCAGTGACTACGGGTGGAGGTCCCATTCCATCAGCGATAATGTCGAAATTACAAGACACTTGACTTGATGTCTACTTATGATGATCTACAACGCGTATATTCAGAACGAGAATCGCGCTAACGCTGCTAATAAAACAACTGATTAAACTGAATCAAGGACCATCGAAGATCCGGCAGAGTCCAGAATGCACAGAGATACACAGAGAGAAACTTGATAGAGTTTTTCACTGATAGAACTGATACGATTGCGCACTCAGTGCATATTAATGCTGTCATACACTAATTTAATCGATCTGAATGTATAAAAGTGAAATGTGTGTATCTCAATTAATAAATTATCCAATGTATTTATATTTTATCAAATAGCTGATAGTATAATAAAATGTATTGAAGATTTCGCGATTTAATTCGTTTCTATCAAACATGTATCTTTATGTCAATTTGTGTATGTACAACGGATTTAAAATTTAAAGTGCCCTGAGTGCGCAATATGCACTAGATCTGGCAGTGAAAAATGCTATAAGAGTAAACATCCTTTAACTTTTTTGTGTGCCAAACCTCGTTTAGATTTCTCGATCTCTGACATACTATACGATGATTAATCAAACACGGATGATAACATTAAAAACAATTTTGACCCAGGTATATCATATGAAATATATCGGAATGAATTTCAATTGGAATTATTCTGTTTTTCTTAGAGAACATGATAAAAATCTAGGGAATAATCAAATAATTCCGATTGGAATCCATTCCAACTTGTTTCATGATTAGGTATCCTGGAATCTTTCATTAAAAGAAAAAAAAAGTTGTATCATGAAAAGATTCGAGAAAAAAATAAGAAGCATTTGTCGCGCGTGCGTATATTTCTAATTATATCGCGCAGTAACGATGAATTTTGTGATCATTTTAGATGAGTCTTTGAAAACAAGTGCGCATTACGGACATTGAAAATTTAGATTAATATATCTACTTATAATTTAATGAAGCGCCAAGAAATAAATTAATTTACACAAGGTGAAGTTTGTCATATGTTTTAATTAAGAGAAAAGTTAATTAAAAGAAAAGTGTTTACGTATAATTAAACCACTATAAACTCTTCCTTTATATGCGTATAAAGATGCAATTAATAAGATAATAATTTAATAAGTTACTATAAATAGAAAATTTGGATTTAACGTTCAACAATTATAAAATAAGAAAGCGGAGAAATTTTTTTCGTATTAAATGATGTGTTGTTGTTTCAAATTAGTTTGCGTTTTATAATTAATCCGTCATATAGAATTTTAATTTGAATACAAAATATACACATTGTATGTATAATATATGTGCGACTCAACTAATGAAAATTATAAATCGACTTGGGAAAACCAAGATTTTTATTTGAAATGTCCTGGAATCTTATCTTTGAATTGATTAGCCCGACATCGCTGGACACTCTGGGACTATATAAAGACTCGTGCGATTATATAATCTCTGCCATTTCTTTGCTAGTCTATACTATAAATTGAATAAATTTGAATCTCGATATATTGATGCTGATAAAGAGCATGGAGTGCTGCGTGTTTATTCATTTTTCTTCAAATCATCTTTCGTGACTCTCGTGACGATCAAAAGCTCAATGAGCTAAGCACACCCCTTCAGGAAGTTATAAGGAGCGATCGCGACGAGTGTGCGCGTGATAAGCACGCTTGAGTAGAAGGCGAGTTGTGTGGTAAGTGCCATACGTGCCGCTGCGTGCCGTTGCGTGCCGCGGAGAAAAGTCAGAGAGTGCGTCTCCTTATTAGAGGAGCACACAGCTGGCACGGGTCAAGATGTAAGCTGTCAAGGTGCGGGGATGTCGCGCTAGAGAAGAGCGGGTCCAGGCTGAGAGAGAGAGAGAGAGAGAGAGAGAGAGAGAGAGATAGAGAGGGGGGGGGGGGCGAGAGCAAAACGGAGAGAGAATCAGACCTGGCATACTCTAGCATATACTGACATACACAAGGGTTACACGAGGGGAGAATAGAGAAATGGAGTAGCTGCAGAAAAAGGGGAAAAGGAGATCGATCGGTTGGCCAATAGCTGTGGCATGGAGGACATCAGACTAGGGTAAGAGAGTATATACTGTATTATTTCTGGTCTTGTCGAGAGATTCGTGTGACCGCCCGCGCCGATCGGGCATTACGTATATATGCCATGCATACCTATATATAATGCGGGGACAAGCGGTGCGTGAGCCGCGAGCGCGAGCGCACTCTTGCTGAGGTCGTGGACTGTGGACTGTGGAGAGGAAAGTAGGACGCCAGGGGTAGTTGCTCGTGCTCGTGTTCGCCTCGTGAGGGTGGTCGCGAACGCGAATCGCGAGGATGTCCCATTTTTTCGACTTCGTCGCCGGAATTGTCGGAAACGCGAACGGAGAGCGAACTTCTTTATCAAGGCGGAGCTAAGTGAGAGAGCGACTCTGCGATGGCACAACGAGGGCTCAACCTCGACGGCACGGCACACGCGTCGACGAGTGCAGCGAGAAATCGGCCAAGAGGACGTGAAAATGAACGGTGAAGGTCTGTCGCGGGTCTGCTGATGCTTAATACGATAAGTTGCCAGTGGTGACAATGAGACGGCATCTACACGTACTCTGATGAAAGCTTTTTCCAGTTAAGTGAGAGATATAATATTCATGTGAGAAATCAAAGTGAATTTTGATCAAATCGATTTTCGCTGTTTACCACCACGCGATCAACGATTTTACATATCTCGTATTTTCTACACACTCTCTCTCTCTTTCTCTCTCTCTCTCTCTCTCTCTCTCTCTCTATCTATCTATCTATCTATCTATCTATCTATCTATCTATCTATCCATCTATCTATCCAATATCCATCCATCCATCCATCCATCCATCCATCCATCCATCCATCCATCCGTCCGTCCGTCCATCCGTCTTGCTCCTGTATCACTGTCGTGAAAGCGCAAATATCATTTTCACACTCCTGACGTTACCAAAAGACTCAAGAAATGATTTCGATCGTTTTCTCTAAATGGAAAGCTATTGTGATCGAGTCTTGATCAAGGCTCGCGACGATTTTTTCGTGAAGAAAATATTATTTGTGATTTGTGATTGAGATTTACATAATATATTATTCAAAATCTTGCGTAATTCTTTTCCATCTTCTTTCAATCTTGTATGATTTTTGTAAATTAAGGACATCGAGCTCGGAGCGATAAACCTTTCTTTTATCGATCTTTTTTCTAAAAATTTAAATAATTCTCTGTTTGAATATGAAAATTAATATATGAAAGAGCAGTGTGAGAGCACGCGGGAAATAGAATTATTAATTTAGCATTAAACATTATGCATAACAATTGATGTAACAAATTTAAGTAAATGAAAAAGATTCTTCATTGTATGACGAATTGACGATTCTCTATAGTCGCTGCAGCTCGCGTATTTCTCTTCGTTCGATTGGAGAGATGTCGCGAAGCGCGTTCTAACATCGAATCGCCTTGTACAATCGATCATCAACGCGACGTAAGAGAGAAAGAAAGAGAGAGAGAGAGAGAGAGATATTGCGTGTAAGGAGTACGATTACACTTATCAATTACGAATTGACAATTTTGACAGTACTGACGTATTCGCGTGATGTGCCTAATTTTTGCTACCTTTCCAAGAGATGAATCTCATGGCAATCGCCGCCAGAGTTTCTCCATTATGACATACAAAAGAGAAATTATTTTTCAATCTCTGCCTATTCAGCATTAGCAAATAAACTCGAAATTGTCGAAATTAGATTTGAATTCTGCGTTTATTATGCGATATTTTTTTCTTTTATGACCCAAGTTCACTGAGCGATTGTACCAATTAATTATACGTACAAAAAAAATCGACCTTGGAATATAATTTTCCAATGTGTATACTTATATACTTACTTTTATCTGCGACACTGCGATAAATCTGTCGTCTATTTTCTGTTCTTGCACTAAACTACTCCAGAACTCTCTTTCTTGCTTTCGACTAATATCAAACGTATATTTATCTCACTTTAAGTTCTAAAAGTATGTTCACACTAGTTCAGCCACAGAAAACAGACCTTTTGTCTGTTTACTTAAATGATGCAACTGAAATAATTATGGATCAACAATATATATATATATATATATATATA